TTATTCATTTGAGACACAGAGATAGAGAGAGAGAGAGAGCATGAGCAGGGGGAGAGGCAGAGGGAGAGGGAGAAGCAGGCTTCCCGCTGAGCCAGGAGCCCGATGTGGGGCTCGATCCCAGGACCCTGGGATCATGACCTGAGCTGAAGGCACATGCTTAACCATCTGAGCCACCAAGGCACCCCAAAGTTGTTTTTAAATCAAAGAATTAGATATCCTGGGGTGCCTGGGTGGCTCAGCTGGTAATGGCTCATGACCTCATGGGTAGTGGGATCAAGCTCCACATCAGCTCCGCGCTCAGCTTGGGATTCTCTCTCTCCCTCTCCCTCTGCCCCTCCGGCCAAACACACACCTTCTCTAAAATAAATAAATAAAGCTTAGGAAAAAAAAAAGAATTAGATATCCTAACAACTACTTAGGACTCCTAGATTTTTAAAATTATTTTTATCTTAATGATACATACTACTTCAAGACCTTCGGCAGCCTCCCTACTGTTCTACACTGTTTTAACGGGAAGAGAGACAGTGATACTGACTTTTGAACTCCTAGATCCAGCTGCTCAGAGAAGACTTATGCCCAAGGTTGGTCTTATGCAACTCTCTGTAAGTTCCATTAAATAATGCTCTTTAGCCTTCTGCACTTGCCAGATTGAGAAAACAAAAGGTTAACTCTCCAAGTCCCCTGGCAGAGCACTATCCCACAATGAATGCAGAATGTTTGAATATCACTAAAATCATAGTACACAAATTAGCTATAGTACAAGTGTGTGACTTCTAACAAATAAATGTTACTAATTAGAACAAACACCATTTTCAAAATGATCCCCAAACAGTAAAATCCACAGCTGGATTTCTGGTGGCTTTTCTAGTAATAACTCATCCAATTTACTTAGCTTCTGACTTAACAACCAAACTCCAAGCATGCACATCGGTCATGCTGAATACCAAATAAATCCATCACATTAGTCCTAGGTGGTTCACCTTATATTAGAGTTTATCTATATAATACCATAAAAAATCTACATGTTTCCAGGCTCTTTCTTTCAATCCAGGCACCTTTACCATTTTAAACTTTTAAAAACACAATACAACTCTGTTGGGTAGAGATCGTACCTTTATTTAGAAAGTCCCTCTAAATCTACCCAACTTATAAAAAGCCCATCTTCCTCTGAGGATATCCTGACACTTTCCTGCTTATCTAGATACTTATCCCAGTTCATCTTTTCTCCATGCATTCTGAAGGCAACAATACACTTTTACGAATATATGCATATATATATATATCCAGAAGCACCTTACAAATCCTATTTCTAAATATATCTGAAGAACTAAACTACTTAGAGATTCTGATAAAACTGATGCTGGCTGAAATATTTCACAGCAAGCTCCTTATACAGTGCCATTCATAATTATTCTATTTATTTTGATAGACAAGAGACATTTCATGGGCTCTAATGGTACTCAGCATTACTAATAAAAATCTTTGCCCATTCTAAGGTGCACACTAAGAGGCAGAGGAATGAGTCAAGGTTTTAGTTCAAATATTTACCTATTCTATGTACTATGTAAGATGCTAAAAGTAGGGGCTTCTGGGTGGCTCAGTCATTAAGCATCTGCTTTCGGCTGGGGTCATGATCCCAGGGTCCTGGGATGGAGCCCCACATCGGGCTCCTGGCTCAGCGGGGAGCCTGCTTCTGCCTCTGCCCCTGCTCGTGCTATCTCAAATGAATAAAATCTTAAAAAAAAGAAAAAAGCTAAAGGTCTAAGAATGAATACTTAAGTTCCCACCCTTAAAGTGCTGATATGTGGTCAGCAGACATATGAAATGACAACTTCAACTACATTCAGGGGTTAAGGGACAGAAAGGAGCAATCACCCCTATCCAGTGTTTTATTTTTATTTTTATTTATTTTTTATTTATTTGAGAGAGAAAGAGTGAGAGAGAGTGCACGAGAGGGGGCAGGGTCAGAGGGAGAAGCAGACTCCCCACCGAGCAGGGAGTCCAACGCTGGACTCGATCCCGGGACTCCGGGATCATGACCTGAGCTGAAGGCAGTCGCTCAACCAACTGAGCCACCCAGGCGCCCCCTATCCAGTGTTTTAAAATTAGTACTGCATTTAATTCTTACAATGACCCTATCAATAGTGTCCTCAGAGAGCCTGCATCAAGAATGTTCAGCTACAGGGGCACCTGGGTGGCTCAGTCGTTAAG